CTCTGTTCAAAATGTTGGCTTAATCGGACAAATGTTGGGAATGGGTGCATCATTTACATAAAATCGGACGAAACTAAATATGGGAGTTATATCCAAATCTGAACCGATTCCAACATAACTTCGCATACATCAATCTGACCCTGGACCTCAAAAGGATCAATTATTATTATTATTTTTTTTTTCAATGTATCCTCCCCTCATTTATTCCCTTTTGAGAATATGCATAGAATCACTTTCTGAATCGATTTATGCATGTCCGTCCGTCCGTCTGTCCGTCTCTCCGTCTGTCCATGTTAAATTGTAAACAAAGTACAGGTCGCATTTATGATCCGATTTGGATGAAATTTGGCACAGCTCATTTGTTTGGCCCAAGGACGAACCCTATTGAAATTGGGAAAAATCGGTTCAGATTTAGATATAGCTCCCATATATATTTTTGCCCGATTTACGGACTTTAGACCCTGAAAATCTTTCGATTTGCACGAAATTTGGCATAGCGTACTGAATTGAGCCACGAAAGATGTGTGCCAAGTTTCGTGAAAATCGGTTCAGATTTATATATAGCTCCCATATATAGTTTCGCCCGATTTACGGACTTTAGACCCTGAAAATCTTTCGATTTGCACGAAATTTGGCATAGCGTACTGAATTGAGCCACGAAAGATGTGTGCAAAGTTTCGTGAAAATCGGTTCAGATTTAGATATAGCTCCCATATATAGTTTCGGCCGATTTTTGGTAAATGGCGTACCAAAGTCCCTATATATATCTTTCGATTTGCACGAAATTTGACATAGCGCACTGAATTAAGTCTAGAATGATGTGTGCAAAGTTTCGTGAAAATCGGTTCAGATTTAGATATAGCTCCCGTATATATCTTCCTCCGATTTAAGGTAAATGGTGTACCAAAGTCCTTATATATCTTTCGATTTGCATGAAATTTGGCATAACGTACTGAATTGAGGCTAGAATGATGTCTGCCCAGTTTCGAGAAAATCGGCCCAGATTCAGATATAGTTTCGTCCGATTTCATGTAAATGGTGCACCAAAGTCCCTATATATCCTTCGATATATTTGGATAGAGCTTCCATATATATTTTCGCCCGATTTTAAGAAAATTGGACATCAAACTCTTCATGCTAGTCAGGTTGACATCAAATTTTGCACAACGTACAAAATTGAGCATAGAATTGCGTAGTTGCGTTTTCTAGAAGTACAGACATAGCCCAACAGATAACCTATTTATATTTGATTGAAGTCGATTTATATAACTTATGGATATATAGGTAGATTCACATTTAGATAAATATCACATATTTTATTTCATCCAATTTCATGTTAATAGTCCTGTTTAATATATCCATAGTGGTGAAGGGTATCATATAGTCGGCCCCGTCCGACTTTACTACTTTCCTTACTGGTTTTCGAAATAGAATTGACTGGAATATGTCCCTCAAGTGAAGCACAAATAAACCGGCGGTAATTTGATTCCAAGAAATTTAACAAATTTCGTCGCATTTAGTTCGTTTACGAAAACCCATATGAAATTTGTGGGGTGTTTACTAAATTTGTTATTTCGCTTGCAATATAGAATATATGTCCGTCTGTCTGTATGTATGTAAAACTCACAATATTTAAGATAGACCATAAAACCTATATAAGGATTACCCCAAACATTTCGTATTTTAGGGTTTTTTTGGCACGTTTTCAAATCTTTTCAGTGAAAATGTTCAATATTGGTCCACTTTTTCGAAAGCTTACATATATCCCCAATATTCGTGCAGGTGTTTCAACCAAATTGACTGTAATGTTGTATGTTTTGGATTATCATTCCGGGTAGCCCTCAAGTAATGATATCCTGCATTATTCGAGGTTTTGTGCACGTTATTGGCTCGAATTTGATTTTGTCGGTTCCTATGAGGTGTGAAATCTTCCTACCAAAGATTGTCAATATTGGTACAGCTCCCATTTAATGACCCATTTTAGTATTTTGAAGCCGTTTGATGCATTTTTTTATATTTAAAGGATTCTTGAGGGCTCACATACATATACATATAAAACCAGTAGCAGAGCACAACTGCCACTTAAGGGGACCCCCCCCCCATTCTCGGGGTCAAAATTTTTGTTGACATAATTCGAATCTACACTGATTAAGGAATGTCTCTACAAAATTTCAAGTGAAAATCTCAATAACTCTTGAAGATATATCCGATTTATTGTGTCCGCATCAAGTGACGGCTGAAGGGCTTCTCAAACTTTAAACGCGATAACTCAAAAACTAATAATCCAATCGGTTCCAAATTTTGCAACGTTTTTCTGGGAGTGTATAGCTCTCTTATGAACTAGGATAAAGCCAATCGGTGAAGATCTTCCTTATTTTTTAACCTGGTTTTTGGTCAAAAATCGGCGATTTTCCAAAAATATTTTTTCAAAGGTCCACCATTTTGTTAATTTTAGAGCGAAGTCAATAATCCTAGTTCATACGAGAGCCAGACATGTACTCTTTCTAACACCGTTGGAATTTTCGGATTCCGATGTTCCAGTGAGGAGTTATCATGCCCGCCATCAAAAATAAGGACTTTTCTTTAATTACAAAAAACAACAACAAAACAATAACAAAATTTTGTTGTAAATTATTTTTCTTCTCTTTTAAATCTTCAATTGTATATGTGTGAAGTTACAAACCTTAACAAGCATTGGTATTGATTTACCAGCCCATTGAAAATCTTGAAAAAATAAAATCGAGAATGGGGGGTTCCCTTAAGTTAAACTTGCTGCGGATCTATATTCCGAGCCTGGACAATATTTTTCAATATTTGCACTCTCTTCCCCGATTAGAGGTCAACAGGTCATCTTTCTTACTCTGAACATTTAAATCATAAAGTTCAAATTTTTCTTATTTTACACACAAAAGTTAACCAGCTCCCCTTCCCTACGGCTTATAATTATGTTCTCCAGACAGACTAAAACAAAAAACTGATCATTACCTTGACCCAAATCGGAACTTCATGTAACATTGAATAGCGATCAGCGCTTCATTTACGTCCTCTAGTGTGGTAATGGGTCGCTAAATAAAATCAGAACACGTAGACGACTGTAAATATTTTAGTATTTCTCCTACAAATCCTCTTGGATATACAATCAACTTCTCGGATCTATGACCATCAGTTGTAAATATATACGCCATATAATGCAAATTTTGACATTTTCAAACAAAAATCTGATTGTTCCATGGTCAGATCCATTTCTCCGTGTAAAACTTCGATGTGTTCGGGACATAATTGATCATTACCAAGAACAATAATGGTCTTCCTTGGTCGGAACCGGTCCTATATGCCAACGATTGGTCCATAACTCGGACAGATTGATACACATGACTAGATCGACTGAGCTAATCGAGATATGACAATCGGTAAATTAAAAGGTGGGTCTAGGATCAACGTTTTGCTGCGTTACAAACTTCTGGGACCACATAAAGCTATAATACTTTTACAACATAGTTGTGTAGGGTATAATGATCAATATAGATCCATAAATTGACAGAAACCTCATTATCAGTATTTTGAACTTTTGTTCCATTAAATTTCCCAAATAGGTTCCTGTGTTGACATAGCCTCCTTCCATTCCCTAGGTTAAAATTTTACACTGAAGCCCGGCGAGTTCTTGGAGAAAGAAAATAACTTATTTTTTAGATTATTTTCAATATAAATTGATGTTTTGCCATAGTTCCCATATAAAGTACGTCCCGTGATTTAGATTTTAACATGCTTTTCTCATCGAGGGGCTATAATATGGCATATCGGATTCATGGCGAATAAAAAACTTATTTCTAGAAATTACTTAATAAGTTTTTATTTTAAATAGCCACTATCCAAATGTCTCAATGCATTTTCGGCATTTTGAAGTTAAAGTTTGGAAAAATATTTTTGTCTGAGCATGAAAAACTTGAACAGTAATAAAGATCCTGATCGATTTAAGGAAATTTGAAGGCCACCACAGGGTATATAAAAAGGCATAAAAAGACCTTTTAACTCGGAAATCTAACCAATCTCTACATTATATTTCAAAATCTGATGGTTTTCGATAAAACGCGACCATTGTATTCCATTGAATGATGCAAATTCCATATTTAAACCATTTGTCCTGTCATTCCTCCAGGCCTATTGTCTGCCTGCCTGTCTTTCAAATATTTGCCACAATTTTTTTTATTTTCACATTGCGTGTCTAACTAAAAAAGAAGCATTTAAATAACAGTTAAACGCTTAAACAAATACAATTTGTAGCTATTTTGTTTGTCGTTTTTGGTAGTTCGCTTCAAATTTTATTTCCCAAAAAATAAAATTAAAGTATGCAGCAGCAACAACAACAAAAGCAAATAGCACACAAAAAAGACAAACATTTAAAATTGTTTCACTTCACAATTGTTGACTTCTCCACACAAAAACACACAACGAGTTGGGAAACCTCTAACGCCACATGCCATCATATGCAGATCAGCCATGTGTCCGTCCGTCCGTCTATTTACAATGTTTACCAAGGAACGTTAGTTTTTACAAAAGAAAAAACAAAAACAAACAAAAATTTTGAATGACAGTAGCAACTCCAAAAGAAGTGAACACTCACATCACATATCCATTCGCACACACTCACTCCAAAACGTTTATCACGATCGAAATTATCATGCAAGCGTTTAGGCTGCTTTTTGCCATGATTACTTACCATAAAATGAAATTATGTGCAAACTATTGTTGCAATAACGAAATAAAATAAAATAAACAAAACGATAAAAATAATAATAATAATAATCCGCATGTAATTCTTTGTTAATTGTCATCATCGTTGTTGTTGTTGTTGTTGTCGTTATTGCCGTTTTAATAATAATCTCTTTTGTTTTGATTTTCGAGTTGTTGTTGTCTATGTTTCTGCGAAATATTTTTGAATATAAACTGGAGCATAAAATATTAATTTAGTTCGCATCCGCTTATGCTTTGTCTATTTGCAGATCACTTCAGCTATAACGAACCAGAGAAATGGCAAGTGGATTTCCCACAATGCGGTGGCTTTAAGCAATCACCCATTATTATATCGACACCAAAGGTAAATATTTTGAACCGATGAAAAAGTAAAAAAGTAAAAAAAGTGAAAAAGAAAAGTAATTCATGTTGTTGTACTTTTTTGCAAGGTCAAATTGATGCAAAATAGGGCCAAAAATAGCTAAAATCTTCAAATTCTGCCAATCAAGCGAATCGAACAAAATTTATTTCTTTTCTTGTGATTAAGAAAGCTTGATTAATATTTTGAGAAACTATGAGTTGTTGTTACGAAGCCATTAAAATAGGTTCTATCTTTGGTGAAAATATTATGATGAGCAATGTTTGAAGCTGGGTAAAAATACGATACACGAAGTAAGAATAAAATCGGTTTATCACGAAGTAAGAATAAAATCGGTTAATCACGAAGTATGAATAAAATCGGTAAGACCGACAGTATATTCATATATGAACTTCAAAATTGTCTGCTAAAGACATATTTTTTGATCGCATCCTTATCTTAAACCTGATGACAATAGGAATTATAACCAAACGTATTTTTATTTATTTTTCTGGTCGCTCTAGGGACACGGAATTTTACATCGGGAAACGCTAAAAAATAAACTTACTGAACTGGTAATATGGACCAAGAATTTTGTGTGAAAAATTACAAAATTTGCATTCTATGACGTATACATATATTTCAGAAGGACTACGACCGGATGCGTCAACTATACGTAAATATTTACAATGTTCTACATATTCTAATATTGTTTAGAATTATCATAACCCCTCTAGAAGGCGGAAATATAACATTTGGGGTTATAATTATGTGAAGGGCTAGGGACCGACATAGATTAATTTCGAACCTAATAGTTTAGCTTTTTTATCTCAAGACCTTCCTTTACACTAAATATTAAAAATAATGAAAATGGGGAGTTATCTTCATATAGGGTCAAAATGCAGGTCGATATAGTTCTTTCTCAAACCTAGCGTTTTAGTTTTTTGTCACAATATTTTTTCCTAGTAGGAAAAAATACTTTTGTCGTACTGGCAATCTCTGAAACATGGCTTGTTCGTGAGATTTTAGACTCTGCAGTTTCTATTCCGGGCTACAATTTCTGCCGTGCTGATCGTCAGATACAGAGATGGTGGTGTAGGTATATATTTATCTTAGAGTCTTAAAATTTAAGATGTTTTTAAAACGTCAGATTATGATTGTGATTTATTGTTTGTAGAGTTACAGTTTCAGAGTATGATAGTTATTTTTGGTGTTGGTTATTTGCATTGTAATTTTTTGGCAGAGTACATATATTTTGTTATTCTTGGTGACTTTAACTGCGATTTGTTCAACCCTAATGAGGCAAATTTGTTTCGCGGCCTATGCGCTCGTTTAAATTTGAGCATTGTTCATAACTCCAGACCTTCACATTTTGATCTCGGCAGACTTTCTACGTCCTTAATGGATTATGTGCTAATCAGTGATACTTCTATGGTAGCTTACGCAGATCAGATTCAGTCGCTTACAATAAAATCTAATTTTCTCCTGATTTCATTGAATACAGACAGATACTATAATAACATTGATTGGAATGGTTTGTGTGCGTTTGTTGGAATCATTGAACCTGACATGTTTTTTTGGACATATTGATGTGAATTCTAAATGTGCTTCTATATCTTCTCTTTTGGATTCCTCTTGTTAAAAAACAAATTAAATATTCGGTTGATCCATGGATGAATTCTAGAGATTTAAGGGATATAAAGGAATGGATTCTCGTGGGTTATGGAGAATATTAAAGGGTTCTGGATATGTTGGCAATAATCACGAGCATATTGATATGGATCTTAATATAATAAATTATTTTTTTTTTTTTTTTGTGGAATCCTTTCATGTACTTATGTGGTTGAATCTGAAATTTTAGATGCTTTATGTACATTTATTAAAATCGTTTTCCCCTATATATCTAAGACCATCTTGGACTTGGTAAACGCTATATTAACTACGTCTACTTTTCTCCTATGTTGGAAAACTGGTACCACTGCCTAAATGCCGTTCAGTTAATGAACCAGGAGATCTCAGACCCATATCAATTTTACCACCACAGTCGAAGGTTATGGAGTATATTATTAACCCTTTCAGTACAAAAAAAAAAAAAATTGGAATACAAATCTCAAATTTTGTATTTAAGATCATATAAAGGCACATAGTTTCAGTTTCGTCTGTCTTTCAGCAAAAACAAAAACATCAATAGTAACGGTACATAAGATAAACGTAAAATCACAAAGAAAGGAAGTACTTTTAAATGTCGAATATACTCGACAAAAACACTGAAAGGGTTAAGAAACAAATGCTTGAGGTTTGTTCATTTAGAATTTGTGATTCACAATATGCTTTCCGCCAGGTTTACAACACCACTCATTTACTTCTTAAAATGACAGATTATATCCGTGAATTCTTTAATGAGGACAAATTAAATGTTTTTGTATCATTAGATTTGTCTAAGGCATTCAATTCTATTGATCATGATAAGCTTGTATGGAAACTGAAGAATAACTTTGACATTTCTAAATTAGCCTGCAAGCTAATATTGTCTTATTTGAGAGATCGGAGTCAGTTTGTTTTCAAGTCTAATTCTTGTTCATTCTGGTGTACCCCAAGGATTTGTCATTGGACCACTGTTTTTTTATATGTGAATGACCTTGCTCTTCATGACATTTTTCTGCTTTTTACTGGTAGTCCTAAATTTCCTAACTCTTTTGAGAGGGACTTAAACTTGAACCTAGATCGTTTTGTTGATTGGGCATCCAGAAATGTTCTGAATGTAAACCCGTTAAAAACGAAAGCTTTGTATTTTAGAAAGAATTACCCTAAATATATATATACAGTATTTTTCGGTTAATTGCACATCAAAATTTGCACAAATTTTTGTTCACTTAACCGAGGAACCAATTATCCGAACACGCCTAATTAAATAGTTTGTTCAATTACAGTAATCGTGTATAATATAACTACTAATGATTAAAAAAAATCCAATGTCAAATACAAATTACGCTTTCTCGCAGTTTTTCTTAGCAATAAACATATGTTTTCAATTAGTAGAGATGCCACATAGTCTTTTTCACATATTATTTCAAATATGTATGTAAAAAATGGCAGATTATTTTCAATTATTATTATGCAATTAACGGTGAAAAGTAAAAGGAAATTTATTTTTGATGACATGAATTTTGAACCAATTAAGCGGGAAAATCAATTAACAGGGTTTAATTATCCGAGAAAATGTACATGTATTTTCCTATAAAATATTTTTTGCCCCATCATGTGGCTCAATTAAGCGTGGAAACCAATTAACCGTAGGGTCAATTAACCGAAAAATATTGTATATACAGTGGCTCCATCGAATAATCGGACAAGTGGTTGCCAGATATAATAATGCTATACATTTCAAAAAAATTGTCTATATGTGTAGTTTTTTTCGCTTTTATTTACACATTACTTACTTATATTTCTGAACAATACAAAAAACAACAACTTTTCTAGTGATAACAGTAAATTTCGTCAGAAAAACAAAATTAACTCAATTAATTGTGTTCAACGCAAAATCGGACAAAGCAAAGTATCAATGTTAAAAAATCCTTTGTTGTCCAGAACGGCCTGTAAACGCTTCGGTATTGATTTGACCAAATTCTGGCATACCTCCGGCTCTATGGAGTTCCACGATTCCAGTAAAGCCACCTTAAGCTGTACCAAGGAGTTAAATTTTTTTCCATACACTCTCCTAGCTAATTCTTCCCAAAGATGGACAATTACGTTAAGGTCTGGGCTCTGTGCTGGTGTTTGTATAAGTTTTGGGGAGTTATGGATCAACCAAAGCTTTGCAACACCTGATGTGTGCTTGGGATCGTTGTCTTGATAAAAGGCAAAGTTGTTCGCGATTCCCAATTTCTCTGCACTTTGCTTTACATTTTGTTTTAAAATGTTGAGGTAGAAAAAATTTTACCATCAATAAAATGCAAATTGCCTACTCCCGCACTCGACATGCAGCCCCAAACCATAACAGAACCTCCTCCGTGCTTAACAGTGGCTTTTGTATTCTTATGATTAAATTCAGCATTTGGCTTACGCCACACATACATCTTTCCATCTGACCGGTGCAAGTTAAATTTGCTTTCGTCAGTAAACAGAACCTTAATATAATGAAAACTATCAATAGAAATGCATTTTCGACCAATACAGACCAAAGATAACCATATGTAAAATTTCAGCATCTCTATCCCTCTAGCTCTCTATCACTCTAGCTAGACCGTTTTAGAATTTTACCCTGATCAAGAATATATCTACTTTATGATTATTTAGATGACATACACACCGTTGCCTTGCCGATTAAGTCCAAACATTGTGCATGGTAATATTTCTTCCAAATCTAAATTATATTCGAAGATAGAGAATATAAGACAACTCCTTCTAGTTACTTCCCCATCAAAGGTGAAATTTTTTCTTAAAATGTACCGAGCGGGTTTGGTATTGAAAACATGGCAATCCGTTGGCAGTTTGATTTATCCTTCCTGCAAAAGCCCCACTCTAATTAAGGTACTTTGAGGAGCTTCAATACAGTTTTTTTATAATTTTGTACTTTTGTTCGATTTTCGTTATTTTGGCATTTTTTTGTGTCAGAATTGATTGTGAGGAAATCTCTCACAATCAATTCTGACACATTAAATTTGGGATTTTTATTGAGTAAAATAACTTATAGCTTTATAATTTTCGATAATTTTTGAATTTTAGTAAAAATAGATAATTTAATTAAATGATCTTTATTATCATTCTAGTCTATTGACATTTTAATATTCCCATTGGAGTTTGGTTTATACGATACACCGCTATCGAAGCCTATAAGCTTACACAATAATGGACATACAGGTAAGGATTAATTAGGAAATATATTGTTCTATTTAAAGTAAATTAATTTTTGTATCCTTAGTTGAATTTAAGATCCCCGAAACAATGTCGGGTGATAAACCCTATATTAGTGGTGGCTTACTCGACGACACCTACGAAGTCGAGCAGGTACATTTCCATTGGGGTTCACCGACTCGCAAAGGCTCCGAACATATTATCAATGGTCATCGTTATGATATTGAAATGCACATACTACATCGGAATACCAAATATCCAAGTGTGGAATTAGCACGGCTATTCGAGGATGGTTTGGCTGTTGTAGCGGTGCTATTTAAAGTTGTTAAGGTAAGGAAATGTTGAAATAATAATAAATTAAAATTAATGAGGAACCAAAATGAGGTCAAAGTTCCGATGCTTTTTTTTGAAAAAAATACAAAGGTTAAGCTTGTTTTTTACCAAGTGTTTAACTATTTGAGATAAGAAATAAAAAAATGTAAAAAAGTCATAGTCTGGGGGGTGGAAAATTCATTATTGACATCAAAGCCCTTGGTAATAGAAGTATTTGTTATTAAGAAATAAAAAATCAAATAGATCAAGTATAAAACGATATTTTTGACCTCCAAATATTCTTTTAAAATAAGTCTCCAAAGACAAGAAATCGATATTCGTATATTTTTATAGACCTTTTCCACTTTTACCCAAATTTTAACCTATTGAAAAATTGTTCCTTTGGGTACCTAAAATACCCGCCAAGGGCTTTCATCCCCATAATGAATTTTCCACCACCACCATCGTGTTGCACAGTGTATTTCTTTAATTTTTTTAATTTCATCGATTTTCTTTCGTCTGGCTGATTTCCGAATTTTCTGTTTTTTTTTTCTAATTTAGTCGGAAAATGTTTTCTATCCGGGTTTAAATCTGATTTACAATAATCTGCAAAATGTCCAATCATTTAACTCGACCAGTGATACAATGCATTTAATTACCCTTGGATCGCTGTTGGGTAATATTAATCGTGAAGATTTTTATACATATCAGGGGTCATTAACCACACCACCCTGTTCCGAGGCCGTAACATGGATAGTATTCTCCGATGTTCTGCCAATTTCCTTCAAAGAGGTAAGGTTTCTTGATTGATCCAAAATTTGAATATAAATTTTAATTTTGAATTTTTTTTTAGCTTCCCAAATTTTGGAATATTTTAAATGAAAAGGGCAATAAATTTGTCAATGTACGACCGATACAAAATAATGGATTTCGCAAAGTTTTTCACCGCAAGCCTTTAATACAATTTAAATATTTGGGTTAGCCAGCAAGGAGTTTATTTCATGGAATGTATTTATATTGAATATTTAGTTGTATTTTGATAAATATTTAAAAATGTAGATATATTTTTTTATATTAAGTTAGCCAAATACCTTTTTGTACAAATACTATATATATTTTCTTATAAATAAAATTGTTTAAAAAATAGAAAAATAAAAATAAATATTTTTTTATTTCAAATTCATAAAAAAAATTTACAAATCTGTTATCATTGCATTGTTATTTGCACATATGGTTGCAAAGATTACAATTTCAATATGATTGGTTAATATTTACAATGTTAATAAAATTTGTTTTTATTTTTAATTTATATTCTAAAAACTCCTCCTCAAAAATTTTTACTACCTATTAACTAAACCTGATTGATGTAAACATTCCCTTAACACATTGGATCTAATTAGCAACATACCTCTTTACCCTTCACTATGGTATATTCTACATATAAATCCTAATAGACGTCGCCTTTTCGAAGGAACATTGACATGAACTTGAATGAACTTAAATATGCGATCTTTACCTATATGTGAACCACTAATATCAATCCGTACACATATTGTGAAAGCTATGCTATGTTCAATTTTATTCGGCAGATTTGATACGTTGTGCAAACTTTCAATGTCAATCGATTCGCACGAAACTTAGTACACATCATTTTACACCTAATTCAGTACGTTGTGCCAAATTTCGTGCAAATCGAAAGATATATAGGGACTTTGATGTCCCATTTACCTTAAATCGGACAAAACTATATACGGGAGCTATATCTAAATCTGAACCGATTTTCTTCAATTTCAATTGGGTTCGTCCTTGGGCCAAAAGGGTGAGCTGTGCCAAAGGAAGGAAGGACGGACGGACGGATATGCTTAAATCGACTCAGAAAGTGATTCTATGCATATTCTCAAAAGGAACCATGTGTCTATCTCGCTTACTTTTGCCTGTTACAAACATATGCACACAGACATAATACCCTGCGCCACTGTGTGGTGAAGGGTATAAAAATCCACGCCTATTATAATTTTAAAAAATCCTCGCCTATTATAATGAGCCTTGAAAAATTAACAACTTAATCCTTACTTAATCCATGAAAAATGTATTAATAAAATCCACGCTTATAGTCTCAATAATCCTTAAACAAATATTAAATGTCTACAAAAAATAGAACTATATATTATACTCAGAAACTAAAGACATTACCCTTTCAAATGATTTTTATTTCACTGCAATACGACCATTATTACCAAAGTTATAATCATTTAAAGAATCAACCCAACGTCATAGCACAGCAATTCAATAATATGCATGCCCAATCAATGAAACAAGCAAACGAATGATCCACCCACCACCCACTTTAACTACACCACCCCAATACGAAAGCACACAACAACAACAGTATTTGCTATAAACATCTATACTCCCATTGCCACCCACTCTGCGGAGTATCACAATAACACTGTAAGAGACCAGAGAACGAAACACTGAGAAGTGTACATGTGTACTCTCTCATGCTCTGTTACATTCTCTCATAGTGAATCAGTAACATCAATGAACAGTAACAACAACAAACAATGTTTGGCGCCTTTTTTGTCTTGGGAAATTTGCAAATAATATTATTGTTCTTACCTTTTAATCATGTCCACTTTTGTATGAAGAGCTGTTCTTTTCTAACAAAACAAAAGCATACACGCACACACACGGGACAAATTAAAAAAAATTATTATTCTATTAGAAAATGCAAACGCGATTGTAGAAACTCCGAAATATCGACACACAACCTTACATTGAATATTTATTGCAATGCTTTGGACATAGAAACGAAAAGGAAACTCAGTAGGAAGTAAAAGGCTTAACCACTACAACAACACGGTAAAGACAAAGCGACACACGATTTATTTCCTTTATAAATTGATTTCTTTCTTTCCTTTATGTATTGATTTTTGTTAAATTCACTCGCGCACAAAAAACAGGCTTCTACCGGGGACATTATTGAATCATTTTACAAAACTAATAATTTAACTCGATCGATTTCTTCTTATTGCGTAGGAACTCCCGCAACCGCACTTCACGACATTTAAAAAAGAACTAAAGTCGAGTAATTTCCGAGAACAATGAATGGATCAAAGGAATGGAGAGTAACCCCACTCTGCCTAGGAAGAGAGTGAATTGGCAAGCAAACTCCTTTTCATTACACACATACACACAAAGTAGTTGGTGCCGGGAGTGTCATGAGATGCAAAATTAAAATTCTAATTAGAACTCCTCAAAATTCAGGCAATGCAATTTACAAGAGAGATTATGACAGATTTGACTTTTTATTTTAATTGGGATAGAAAACATTATTTGATACATAATTTCCCAGGGCCACAAAAAAGAGCGGATTCAAAATTAATTCGAGCTGTTATAACTATTAAAAAATTCATCCCTAATGGTAGCCTTTGAAAAAATTTTTTAAAAATCCATGCCTAATGGTGGCTCTTAATTTTAAAAAATCCCTGCCATTGGTAGCCCTTGGAAAATTCATTTAAAAAATCCACCCATTCGTCCTGTGCACTTACAACAAAAAAATAAAAATTTACAATGGCACTGCGAAAATATGGTCAGTCATCTACATTTGTCGACAACTGAAAAAAAACTACCCAAAAATGTGTACGCTGCTATAGAACAAGATTGATATATAAAAAAATGGTTGCGGGTCGGAAAAATTTTAATCCGAGATTTTATGAGCGCTGTTCAATAGTCACTCCTATAAGTCTTGAAAAATAAATTCAAAAAATCTAAGTTTAAAAACAAAATCACGCCTGTAAAAGTAACCATTGACAAATTAACTTAAAAAAATCCGGGAACATACAAATAATAGAAAAATACTTTGTTTTGAAAATCCTTTAGAAAACATGTTTTATAAATATATTGTAGATATTATGGATTTAAAAACTAGAAAGCTTAACCTTTTAAATGTTTTTTTTATTTCACATCAATACCACCATTATTACCAATAATACAGCCATTAAAAAAATCATCAACTGCATAGCACTGAAATTCAATAGTACGCATGCTCAATCAATAATCATACAAGCAAGATCCAACCCCACCCACTTTCACAACACCACTACAATACGAAATCACACAACAACAACAGTATTTGGTAAGAACATCTATCCTCCCATTACCACCCATTCTGTGGAGCATAACAATATCACACACCGAAAAAGACCAGAGAACAAAACACTGAGAGGATTATATGTGTACTCTCCCATAATCAGTTACATTCTCCCATAGGGAATATGTAACATCAATGAACGGTAACAACAACAAACGATGTTTGGCGCCTTTTTGGCTTGGTATTTGCAAATAATATTTTTCTTCTTACCTTTTAATCATGTCCACTTTGCATAAAGGGCTCTTCTTTACAAAACAACAGTCATACACACACGCACACACGAAGAAAATGATGAAAATAATTATTATTTTAGAAAAATGCAAACGCGATTGTTAGAAACCCCGAAAAAATATCGACACACAATCTTACATTGAATATTTATTGCAATGCTTTGGACATGGAAACGAAAAGGAAACTCAGTAGGAAGTAAAAGACTTAACTACTACAACAACAACACCGATAAGGCAAAACGACACACAATTTGTTTCCTTTATAAATTGAATTCTTAATTTCTTTCTTTACTTTATTTATTTCTGTTAAATTCACTCGCGCACAAAAAAGACGGACTTCTTCCGGGGTCATTTATTTAATAACTTTGCAAACTAATATTCAAAATTCGATCGATTTCTTATTACATAGAAACTCCTGCAACCGCTCTTCACGACATTTAAAAATGAACTGAACTCGAGCAATTTCCGAGAACAATGATTGGATCAAACGAATGGAGAGTTACCCCACTCTACCTGGGAAGAGAGCCAATTGGCAAGCAAACTCCTTTTCATTACTCACACACAGAGTTGTCGGGGGATGTCATGAGATGCAAAATTAAAATTCTAATTAGAACTCCCCAAAATTCAGGCAATGCTATTTACAACAGAGATTAGAACTGTAATGACAATTCAGGGATTTTTTTTGCAGATTCGACTTTTTTATTTTAAGTGGGAAAGAAAACATTCTTTGAAAATGTTATTTCAAGGGTCACAAAACTAGCCGGATTTTTTTAAAATTCAAGCTGTTATCACTATTAAAAAATTATTATTAAAATATCTACGCCTAACGGTAGCCCTTGAAAATTTAATTTTGAAAAAAAACATGCCTATTGATAGCTCTTTAAAAATTAATTTTAAAAAATTCATGTCTATTCGTATCCCTTAGAATTCGTCTTTCAATTATTATTATTAAAAATTATTTAATATTTTTTTAATTATTTTTATCTTTTTTTAATTTCATTTAATTATTTTGGACTAGGACAATATGCATAACATTTTAAAAATAATTCAATTGTTATAAAAGCTTGAATTAATTTAAAAAAAATCCGCTCATTTTTGTGACTCTTGAAACAATATTTTTCAAATGGTTTCTTTTCAATTCTAACTAAAAACGTCAAATCTGCAAAAAAATCGCTAAATTGTCATTACTGTTGCTAAACCCGGTTGTAAATTGCCGTGCCTGTATTTTGGGGAGTTCTAACTGGAATTCTAATTTTGCATCTCATGACATGAAATGGAGTTTGCTTCTCAATTGACTCTCTTCCTAGGTAGAATGGGGTAACTCTCCATTCATTTGATCCATTCATTGTTCTCGGAAATCACTCGACTTTAGTTCTTCTTTAAATGTCGTGAAGTGCGGTTGCGGGAGTTCCAATGCAAAATACTAAGAAATAAATCGAATTAGAATATTAGTTTTGCAAAATTATTAAATAAATGGCCCCGGTAGAAGCCTGTTGTTTTGTGCGCGAGTGAATTTAACCAAAATCAATAAATAAAGGAATGAAAGAAATCAATAAATCAATTTATAAAGGAAACAAATCGTTTGTCGCCTTGCCTTAACCGTGTTGTTGTAGTAGTTAAATCTTTTATTTCTACTGAGTTTCCTTTTCGTTTCCATGTCCAAAGTGTTGCAATAAATATTCAATGTTAGATTGTCTGTCGATATTAATTCGGGGTTTCTTACAATCGCGTTAGCATTTTTCTAAAAGTATTATAATTATGTGTTTCATTTTCCCCGTGTGTGTATGCTCGTTGTTTTGTTGGCAAGAAGAGCCCTTTATGCAAAGTGGCCATGATAAAAAAGGTAAGAACAAGAATATTATTTGTCAATTACCCAAGACAAAAAAGGCGCCAAACATCCTTTGTTGTTGTTACTGTTCATTGATGTTACTGACTCATAATGGGAGAATGTAACTGAGTATGGGAGAGTACACACATACTCTTCTCAGTGTTTTGTTCTCTGGTCTCTTACAGTGTTATTGTGATGCTCCACAGAGTGGGTGGTAATGGGAGGATATATGTTCTTACCAAATACTGTTGTTGTTCTGTGCTTTCGTATTGTAGTGGTGTTGTTAAAGTGGGTGGTGTGGAGTTGGATCTCTGGATCTGGTTGACATAAAAAACATTTGAAAGGATAAGCTGTCTAGTTTGTAAATCCACATCATATATTCTATTACATATTTATTAAACATATTTTCTAGGATTATGAAGAAAAGAAATAAGAAAGAGCTTTTAAGGTTTAAAAAATGCATTTTTCATTATTTTTATGTGCCCGGATTTTTTAAAGTTCATTTTTCAATGGTTACTTTAATAGGCGTGATTTTCCCTTCACTGTTTGTAACAGGTAAAAGAAAACGTGATAGACACATGGTTCCTTTTGAGAATATACATTGAATCACTTTCTGAGTCGATTTATGCATGTCCGTCCGTCTGTCTGTCCATGTTAAATTGTAAACAAAGTACAGGTCGCATTTGGCCCAAAGACGAAACCTATTGAAATTGAAGAAATCAGTCAAGATTTAGATATAGCTCCCATATATAGTTTCGTTCGATTTTATGTAAATGGTGCACCAACCTCCCTATATAACTTTTGCACGAAGTTTGGCATAGTGTACTGAATTAAGACTAGAATGATGTGTGCTAAGTTTCGTAAAAATCGTTTCAGATTTAGATATAGTTTCCATATATATTTTCGTACGTATATTTTGTACTGAATTGAGTTCAGAATGACGTGTGCCAAGCTTCGAGAAAATCGGTCTAGATTTAGATATAACTCCTATATATATTTTCGTCCGGTTTTATGTAAATGGTGCACCAAAGTCCCTATATATATATATTTCGATTTGCACAAAAGTTGGCATGGCGTACTGAATTATGTCCAGAATGGTGTTTGCTAAGTTTCGTAAAAATCGTTCCAGGTTCAGATATAGCTCCCATATATATGTTCGTCCGATTTTATGGAAATGGTGCAACATAGACTCTTATATCTTTCGATATGCACATAATTTTGCATAGTGTACTGAATTTAGTTCAGAATGACGTGTGCCAAGTTTCGAGAAAATCGGGTGAGATTTAGACATAGCTCCCATATTTAGATATAGCTCCGATTTAAGGTAAATGGGGCAACAAAGTCCCAATATATATTTCGATTTGCACGAAATTTGGCATGGCGTACTGAATTAGGTCCAGAATGATGTGTGTTGAGTTTCGTGAAAATCGGTTCAGATATAGTTCCCATATATATTGTCTTCCGATTTAATGTAAATGGTGTATCAAAGTCCCTATATATCCTTTGATTGCACGTAATTTAGCACCGCGAATTAAGTCTAGAATGATGTGTGATAAGTTTCGTGGAAATCGGTTCAGATTTAGGTATATATCCTATATATAATTTCATCCGATTTAATGTAAATGGTACATCAAGCTCCTAATGTTTGTTCGATTGTTAGAATGACTTTTTTTTTTGAAATTGGTGCAGATGCAGATATAGCTTCCATATATATTTCGAACGGGTGTCTGATTGAGATTAAATTTTGAACGCTGCAGCTTAAGCAATAACGTATATCAAGTGTATTATAAATAAATTCGTTCCATTGTAAATCTGCCCGAATGAAATGAAATTTAGAATATGTTTGAGAATGACATGTGCATGGATTGATATTAGTCCGTTCAATTTCATCTCAATGCTACTTCGAACATTGACATGCAATTATTAGGATACATATTTGAATATACCCAAAGTGGTGAAGGATATCATTTAGTCGATCATACAGACCGACTTTACTACTTTCCTTACAGGTTTTTATTAATTTATCATGGTGTGGATTTTTGAAACTATAACTAAGGCCTAGTTATATGTGTGTTTGTACACCGTATTGTATTTATCTTACATATATCTAGTTCAAATATGACATTCCACTCCTTCTGGTACCACTCCACCAAAGTGACAAAATTGTGAAAAAAAATTGATGTATCCAATATTAAATGGAATGTCTGATTTGATCCATATATTGCAAATAGCCCATGGTCTGCGGAGGTCCACCGAATTACACAGAGGTGGAACGACGGTTACCATCTTCGGACTTCATCTAGGTTTAGTAAAATATTTCAATTTGCAATGTTCGGTTCAACTTGACAAGTTTAGAAAAAAATCTTTATCGATTTAAAAAATAGATGTAATTAAAAAAAATAATTTGGATTTTTCAGTTTTTTAAATAAATATTAAAATTTTAAAAAAGTTTTCATTGAATTATCATGCTTTTTATATACATAAACTAACCATTATTTATAAGTATGACTAAAACTTAAACAATCCTACTATAACATCCGAAATATTTTGGGTTTTATGTAGGTCAAGAAACGCCAACTGCAAGTGCAACAATTATATTGCAAATTTCGTTAAAAAAAATGTTGGCGCTAACTCAAGGTTAGCTATTTTTAGCAACGTTTCTGTATAATTGAAATATTATTATCTACAATAATGGGAGCTGCCGTAGTTATAGTAAAACTTGAACTTTTTAAAACTCAAAAAAAAAATTAAAATACCAAAAATTAATTGGGCGCCAACATATGTACACAATCATGTTTACATATTCCCCTGTTGTTTTGTTTGTTTTTGCTTTCATTTTCGCCTCGTTCAACGCCGTTTATGAATGAACTTTACTTGAATGAATTACTCTAAATAAATTGTAATTGTTTGTTTAAATTGTAAATCATAATTCATTAAATGAATTATTGTGGAATATATTTGTTTAGTTTTAATGTGAGTGAATGCTTTCAAATACCTGCATGAATTGAAGGTTATTGAAAACGAAAAAAGTGTATCAAACAGAAATATTTGCTTGATTAGTCATGTTATAAATATTTCATCAAACGCATATTTTATGGTTAATAATTTATAGCATTGTTTAATTAATTAATCAATCATTTCGAATTGATATAGTTTTATTGTAGACAATATTGAATCATTTTATTTCAGAGGTTAACCCTTTATTTAATAAATATGTACAATTTGTGAGAATTGGAAAAATATTCTTTAAAAAATCCACGCCTTGTTGTAGACTATGAAAAAATATTCTTTAAAAAATGCACGCCTTGTTGTAGACTATGAAAAAATATTCTTTAAAAAATGCACGCCTTGTTGTAGACTATGAAAAAATATTCTTTAAAAAATGCACGCCTTGT